CTCAGCCCACCCCGGAGCCAGGCCCGACGCAGGCCCCGCTGGACGACACTCGCTTCCTGATCGCCAGCACCAACTGGTACTAACGCCGCAGCCCCTTTTTCCCCGCCGGACCCGAGCCGAGGAGCCGCATCCACCCCCCCTCCAGAGAGAGAGAAGCCTCCACGTCCCTCCGCCCTCAATAAAGGAGGCTGACTGGCAGCAACCTGCAAAGCACGTGTTTTATTTTCCCGCCTCAGAGCTGAGGAGCAGGGCTGGGTGCCTCCAAGAGCTGGTTGAGTCGCTCGGCCTCTCTCCAGCCTGACAGCAGGGCCCCGTGGGTGGTGGAGTAGAAGGTGCGGTGGGTGGCCTCGCCAGCAAAGAGGAGCTGCAGCGGCTGCGGTGAGGCGGGAGGTGAGCGTCGGGGGCCTGCTGCCTCTCCTGGCCCAGCAGGGACACCAGGGCAGCAAACCCAGCCTCATCTCCCTGCCCTTTCGCACCCCACGGATGCATGACTCACACTGCAGCCATGTAGAGACTGAGCAGCGGGCACCTTCCTTTACTTAGAAACCCACCCCATGCCATGAGGATGCTGGAAAGTGGTTGGAAGGAGCTACGCGTCCCCAGATTTTACGCAAATGGGGTTCCCCGACCCCCATGGAGCTCAGTGGGAAGAGACAAGGGGGGTTGGTTGGTGACCCGAGCATCGGTGACCCTTGAATGGAGTGGGAGTGGGGAATGCCATCTCCCTGTGCTCCTCAAGGCCTGGGGCATCCTGTTCCCACCCCTATCCATCCATCCCCACACCCGGGAGTTCCCACTCCCCCCATGGTCACTGTATCCCCTGGGCCAAAAGCAATTACCCTGGGGTCCTCAGGGTCCTCAGGCAGGGGCTGAGCCAGCACGTCGATGTCATCCCCCGAGCTGCCAATGGCCACGTAGCTGTAGGAGCCCCGGGTGTAGGGAGCGCTGTGCCACCGGGACCTGAGCACACTCCTGGGAGCGGGCAGGTGGGGGTTCCCTGTGGGCATGGATTTTGGGTGGGATCCAAGTGTGCCTTTCCCCGGGGGGAGCGTTGGGGTGACGAGGGTGGAGGAGGTGGCAGTACCTGTCAGCATGCGGAGGACGCTCGTCATGGTGCCGAGAACCTTCGCGTCGCTCAGCGTCTCCATGTACTCCGACTCCCTCCCCGCGATGAAACCGCAGAGGACATGCCCATGCCTGGGGCGAAAAGATGGGGCTGAGAGCTGCCTGCTGCCCTCCCACTGCTCACCGGTAACCGTGCCCTCCCTGCCCCAAGAGAGCTGCTGTGTCCAGACAGGACCAAGATGCTCCTTCACGTTGCCTGGAAAATGCCCAACCCACCCTGGCTGTGATGCCCCAACACTAATACTCCTGGCCACGTACTGCTCAGGTGGTTGGAGGACCAGGAATCCGATCAGCTTCTTGAACCAGTTGGCCTCCAGGTCAGCACTGGGCTCCTCAAGGGGCGACTCATCCTCCCACACCACTTCCAGGAGCTGCTGCTGGGGTTCCCAGAAAGGCTGCTCGAACTCCAAGAATATCTTGTTGTTGGTGCCAAAACCCAGGCGACGAATGGCCTCTGCTTTCTGTTCCGGCAGGGGAGGCTGGAAGAAATGCTGGTGGTGTTCCTTGAGGAAACCTGCAGGAAGATCAGTCAGTTCTGTTTGCTGGGCTCCTAAATGGGGTCTGAGATACTTTCTCCTCCTGGGAAGGGGTTTGGGCAAGTCCCTGCCCGCCATCTGCCCATCTCCAACCACGCCAGCTGGTTGGAGGGGACAGGCAGGGCAAGGAAATGGTGTCCTCACCCAGTGGGACAGTGATAATGACATGGTCGGCGAGGAAGGTGTCTCCATCCTCGCACTCCACCTGGACGGGGAAATCCCTGGTGTTGTCCCCTTCCTCGTGGAACGACCCTCTCCACCGGATGGTCCTCACTGCCTTGTTGAGCAGGACGGTGCCCTCCGGCAGAGCCGAGAGCATGTGATCGGGCAAGCTGCTGTAGCCGCTGCAGGAGGAGGCGCCGCTGGGGATGGGGCTGTTCCCCAAGACACTCTTCTGAGTCTCCCTCCAGAGCCCCGCACTTACCCCGGGAAGGTGCAGTCCAGGCCAGGAAGGGAGACGTACTCCCCGAAGGGCTCCAGGGCCACCAGGTCCATGCTGTGGGTGCCGCTGATGCAACACTCCAGCTTGAGGCAGGTGGCAAGGATGGCCAGTTGGAGCCGACAGGCATCCTCCTCACCCCCTCCCAAAGCTGGGACCCTCCGGGCGATCTCTGCTCGCAGGTACTGTCCCACGCTGGGTGCCGGTGGCTCCTGGGACCCCCGAAAAGCGCGGGCAGAGGTCAGGAGGGTGTCGAAGAGGTCGTGGGCTTTGCTCACTGCCTGGGTGTTCAGCGCCCTCCCCGAGCTGCTGTAGGTGACAGAGGGCAGCGGGGGGTGGCCCCCCGCCTCCAGCTGCTGGTTCTCCTCCCGGGCAGCCTCTGGGCCCAGCAGGCTGTAGTGGGTGGCCAGGCGGAAGACGGGGTTCCCTGGCGAGGGGCCGTGGATCCAGTGCGCCCCCATCTCCACCAGCCCCGATGCTGCGGGGAGGGGAGGCAGGGGGTCACCCCAAGGTGTACATGTGGCAGGAGTCCCTGGGGAGCAGCAGGACCCCCAACCCCATGTGCACCCCAAAGCTGGACCCACTGCACACCCTGCGCCACCCATGACCGGCTCGGTTTGATCCCACTGCGCCCACAGGACTCGACACCCCCAGCCCCGTGTCCATCCACTCAGGACTGGCACCACGAAGCAGGGCGAGGGAATCAGTGCAGCTCCCCCATCCTTGCTCCTGCCCCGGTACAGCCGCCGCCC